TCTTTTCTCTCCTCCTCCTCCTCCTCCTCCTTCTTCTTCTTTTTCTTCTTCTTCTTCTTCTTCTTCTTTTTCTTCTTCCTCTTCTTCTCCTCTTCTTCTTCTTACTTTCTTCTTGTGTACTGCCTAGGAGGCGGCAAATTTGTATATTTACTTACCAATTGGAGTGTAAAAATCAAGATACAAAAATGGATTTTTATTTAAATCAGATTTTCTGATTTAAATGTTTAAAAAAATAAAATAATGTTTAGATATATAATTTATAAAAAGATAAAATATAGACACATGCTATTACTGAAAATGTTTGTAGTAGATACTAACTATTAAAATTATTTTTCCGATCGTTGTTATATGTTATAAATTATGTAAGTATGCATTCGGAGTAGAGTAAACGGTCCGTTTGCATATCTGCTGAGGTAATAGTTGCCTACCAACAACATTTTGATAAGTACAGTGCGCCAAGAGTGTCTCTCCGCACCTCGTCGCAGCCTATTAAGAATTGCATTTATGTTGGTAGCAAACAGATCACTGGGAGACATATGAGTGGTACAAAACTACCAGTAACTATCTATTATGATTCTGGTGAGTATCCAATGTACGTTTTCTTTTGTTACAAGCCGTATCTTGTGATACTATCGTAATTTCTGTTGCTTCCAGACAAAGTGCCACTACTGAGAGACTTTCCTGGTGCACTGTAATATCGAGCACACACAACTATTTCTCTATTTATCCACGAAGAAACATACATACATAACAAAAGTTGTCAATGAATTTTATTTTATTCTTCACCTAATCTTCGTTTTTAAGAAGAGTCTTTTCTAAAAAAGAAAGTTATGTAATGCTGCGTTAGAAAACCGCGAATTTTCGGCAGAAAAACTTGTTTCAGGACTCTGATAAACTGGATAAGTGCACTTGTTAAGTTTAGGAAACAAATCTTCTAACACGTGGTGCAGCCAGAATTCATGTTTTATGGGTCTTTGATACCGAAAAGTCGATTGACGGCTTTCCGTCCGCCTGTTTGTCCGTGAACGACAGCAACAAAATTGTTCGGCAGATTTTCTCCAAAATTGATTTTCCTATGGAACAATCTATCAGATGTCATGGCTCCTTGAGATTGATATCGATATTTTAATTTTGGGTGGTATTTTTCATGAAGCCCCTGGGACATTTGAAAAAATGACGAAAAATTGTTGATTTAAATCATATTAATTTTTAACCAATGACGTAAATCAGTGGTTAAATTATTGATTATCCGCGATTAAGTAATGTAATGCATGCTTGTATACTTCAGTATCGACAGGTGACTATATCGTTTGTAGAGATGAGATATTGCTTTTATTGTCTTTAGTAATTCCAATGACGTTACGTTAACGATGATGCAAGTGACATGCGAATATATTATTATACTACAATGGTTACGATTGGCAATCCTATGTCATATAGTTGGTGAAAATGTCAAGAAAGCGAAACTGCGATTTCTTAGTGTTGTTAGTGACGTGGATTATCCTAGTCACATGGGAGCCATTACGTAGTATTTCGTATTAAAGGGAAAGTTAGAGATTTGGTTAGTTGCCAGATTGCGGCAAGTTCATTAAGATATCATAAAGGATACTCATGGGCTTTCCGACTTTGCAACCGCTTGGACTTGGCTCCAGCTTCCGGGACAATGATAAGCAATGTAAACACTCTGATTTAAAATAGAAAGGGTCCTATATTTCCTGGATACCTAGTTGGCCTGAGGATGCATTCGTTAATTATAATTTTCATATGTTTTTATAATCACATGTTTCATGTGCATTTATTAATATCATTGGAAAGGAAAGGGTACGCGTGGAATTTGTTTAATGGTAAAGTGTTTCTGATATCCTATGTTAGGAAGATCGAACGAAAACGACCGATCAGAGCAGCAGACAAAATTTCAAAGTCCTACCGGGTAGGCAATGCATTTCAATCTCATTGGTCATTGTTTAAATCAATCTTAGGTGATCGCTCAGACAGCACTAAACTACGAACGCCAACCGCGGAATCATCAGATTTCATTTGGATTCAAAAAGTATTGTGCAGACAAAAGAAAAATTTAATTCACGTACTTTGCTTTCAAACTTGTTCCTTCAGAAGATAAATTCATATGTTTCATACGTCACCTCCTGAGTTACGGAGTTTTATTTTATCACAATAACTATTTTACTCAAGTTCTAAGAGACGGTAAGAAAGCATTGGTTCAAAATTTAATCAATGCCAACTTTCTGCTAGAAAAAAATATCTAATTTTCCCGTCGGTGTAACTCATGCTATGTGCAGATATTTTTTTCAATTGTCAAATAATATTACTCTGTGAATATGTACATTGCATTATTATGTGAAAACAAACAAAAACTATAATTATTAAAGCAATACGAAACGTTTCGGCGAATGTTAACGTGCATAAATAGAAAAGTTTGTTAATACTTTTATTTGAATTTATTACCGTATCGTCTCCTATATTATTTCAGTAGTATACACAACTTCTTCGGCTCTTACACGCAACCTGTTTTTACAAATGAGGTGTCTAAAGAAAGATAATTTCACGTAGACTAATAAATTGCACTTCGTCTTTAAAAATACGAATTTTGTGAAAAATCTAAATATTTATGTCAAGTGCAACCCGCAGCACTCAGCTATATCGATAAATAACTCCTAAACGAAGCATTCTGGGGCCTTAAAAACTAAATTTATGTCACCATAGGCCTCAAAGAGACTTTTTCACTTCGTAACCTACAGGTTGAGATATTCTTGGACATTCTATTAATTTTTTGCTGGTTCGGCATTTATTGATACTACGTACCAATGTCACCTGTATTGATGGTGGCCATCTTTGTGACGTCACGCTTAGAAGGCTTAGATTACTCTGTATTATACTATGTACGCTTCCTGTGTACCGTGGTTTGCGCAGACTGAAGATGTTTATTTGCGTATTTATTAATTCAAGATTCTCTCT